GGATCTCAGAGCCCAGGCCTAATCCTCTACACCACTATTTTTAGCTCCACAGACCGAGCCCCATGAGACTGAGGCAGCTGACCTGGGCCAGCTGCGGCCATGCCACAGGTCTTTGATTGCACAAGCATAACACCTGTACATAGCTTGGGGCATTCCCCTATTCTTTGGTTATTGGGCCTTACCCCACAACCTTCTCTCCCCAGTTCCCCACGTCCCTTCATGGCCTCAGGCTGCTCTTTGGTGCCCTTTCTCCCCAACATAATCCTACGTGAACTCTCAGAGGTCCTGGCCTTCGGGGATAGGACTGGTCTCTTAGTCCAATCATCTCTTCCAAGGTAGTCCGAGAAAGTTCTCTGGCCATCAACTGCCACTAAATCATAAGAGGAGGGGTCATTTTGGCCAACCCACCCTTGTAGGTCTGGCAGTAGTCCTCTCATGAACTTGTTCAACACTAAGAGTTCTATAATCGTCTCTGTGCTGTGGGTCTCGGGATGCAGCCACTTCTGCGTTAGATGGATCAGGTTGAAAAGTTGTAACCTTGGTGCTTTGCTCTCCCGGTAACTCCACTCATGGAACCTCTGAGCCCTTATAGCTGTCATCACCTTGGATCTTGCCAGGATCTCAGCTTTCAACTGAGGGTAATCTGTAGCAACTTCTGCTGCCATGTCGTATGGGCCTTCTGGGCCTCCCCACACAGGAAAGGGATGAGGATACTGGCCCACTGGTCTTGGCGCCAGGCCTTACATAGGGCCGTTCTTTCAAATGTGAGAAAGTACACCTCCATCTCATCCTCCATCATCACCATCTTTTGTAGATAACTGCTGGCCCTTAGGGATCACATCCTGTCATGACCACATGTCGGAGGGATCAGGGCCTTCAGCTGGTTCACCTCCTGCAGGGTGGCTCAGTTCTGGGTTGCCTGGCTCATCAGCAGTTGATTCGTCTCCTGATGTAACTGGACTGACTCCTCTTGGGCGGCCATCTGGACCCTGGTATCCTCTTGTTGTACCGACACGGCCTGCACCAGCGCCTCACTATGTTGTCCAATTTGGGGGTTGTCACTGAGTGACGACTCACCGGTGCGGTGCCTCCTGCTGGTCATCCAGGGAATTAGCGTGCCCTCTGAAGTGGCCTCTGCCGGCCGGTGTCCCACTTGCCACTGGACCCGAGTCCCTCCTGGACCCTGGTGCCCCTTTCAGGCCGGGGTGCTGCCCCCTGGCAGTACCCCCACAGATCTGGGTCTCTCCTCTCTGGGGAACCCCCCCCCACCCTCTATGTCCACCTCGCCTCAGTCTTTGGCTACTGCCAGTCACCATCTAGCCCTTGCTCACTGGGGCGGACTGCAATATAATTGCCACTCATCGTCAGCAAGGAAGGTTTGGACCTGCTGCCTCTGCCTACCCTTGGGCTGCCCCTTTGCAACCCCGGTACCTTTTCCGGCCTTTAGCAAGGCCTGCAGCCCAGGGGGTTTCCAGGCCGAAGCTCCCCGGCTATTCTAGCCTTTCCCCAGCCCTGCTCCACTTTAGTTACCTTGCTCAGCTCCTAGCAGCCAGGCCCATCCCTCTCAACAGCTAGAGCGAGACTGTCTGTGCTTCTGACCCACTGCTCTCTTATAAGGGCCAGCTGGGCCCTGATTGCACTGGCTACAGCTGTGGCTGCTTTCCCCATCAGCCCCATTTTCCCCTTTTCTCCGCCACAGCCCAGGCTGCTTTAAGCCCTTCCAGGCAGGAGCGGGGTGATCACCCCGCTACAGGGGTGATTTATCTTGCCTCTAGGATAGCCTGCTGTGCCAAGATCCCACTCCTGACACCACCTGTGGCAAGGCACTTCCTGCATCTTGGTGGGCTCAGTGCTCCCCATGCTGGCAGTGGGGGCCTGGAGTAAGTCAGCCCCACTCTGGACAGGATTTACTCTCCCACATGGAACAGGAGTACTTGTGGCACAAGCTTATGCTGAAATAAATTGGTTAGTCTCTAAGGTGCCACAAGTACTCCTGTTCTTTTTGCGGATACAGACTAACACGGCTGCTACTTTGTAATCTCCCACATGGGGGTTTATTCCCCAGTATTTTCCAGGCAGGCACTGGGGCAGATCCATGGAGTGTCCCTCTGCAAACAAAGAAAGTAACCAATTCCAACACAAAACAATGGAGAATACCTCTCCCTACCCTCACTCTGAGAGTGGGTGGCTTTATTATTGGCTGTGAGATGCCAGTCCTTCCCCTAAACAGGAAATCTGTTATGTAGCTTCCCCTGTAGGGAACAGAACAGCCCTCCACCCTGGAGCAGCTCAGCTCAGCTCCCCTCCCCTCTCTCACTGGAGGAGGGGTTTTTAAAGGTCTCAGGCACCCCTTAGTTGGACTCAGGTGTCCCTAATTTAACCGGAGGTAACCCCTTTTAATCTTATAGGGGAAATGGCCTTCATTATTCTAGGACTAATATACTTGCCTTCCACCACTATTACAGCTGTCCAGCCTGACTTTGTCAGAACACCAACAAGTTATGTATTACATACCATATGTTTTTGTTATCCTGTACCTTGTATCTGCTAGCTTGAACAAAACATCCTCTTCCATTACCTGTCATTCCCCCATGTCCCTGTACCATCTCCTAGGAATGTCTCACTTTAGAACGTTAGGGGTTTCAGTACCTTCTCCAGGCAGGAATGTGATTACCTGGTTGGCTAATACCTCGTGTGTTGATATTCTGCTAAGGCCAAGCCTACTTTAGTTCACAGCCTTTGGCTTATACTGTTATAGATTCATAGATTCTAGGACTGGAAGGGACCTCAAGAAGTCATCGAGTCCAGTCCCCTGCCCTCATGGCAGGACCAAATACTGTCTAGACCATCCCTGATAGACATTTATCTAACCTACTCTTAAATATCTCCAGAGATGGAGATTCCACAACCTCCCTAGGCAATTTATTCCAGTGTTTAACCACCCTGACAGTTAGGAA